CTTTCTTCAGGGCTCATCTCACCTGTTAAATAGCTTCTGGACTTTGCCTTTCATTGGTGAGCTGGAAAATAGGATGGACAGACCAAGGCAGCTCCACCCACAGAGAGCCCTAACTGGGGTTTGCTTTCTGACTTCCTATCCTCTAAACTGTACTGAGTGGTGTGTGTGTGTGTGTGTGTGTGTGTGTGTGTTGGTGTGTGTTTGTGTGTGTGTGTGCTTGGAGGACGGTGAGTAAAGAGAGGCTGTGGATTGATTATGACTTATTAAACTATTGGAACACAGGCTGAATCATCACAGTCAAAAAATAAATAGCTGCAACTTGATGCGACACAACTCCCACTTCTTCTTGCCCGGTCCTCTTTGCTCCCTGCACAGCACGTAGGAAGAGGGGCTGCCATGTCCTATGGGCTAATGCTGACTGACAGGCTAAAGCAAGGGGGCTATAGAGCTCTTGGATCTCTGAGCTGTGGAACCTGGATCATTCCATCCCACTGAGCCTCTGATGGCTCCTTGAGCTGAGCGAATCTCGGAATCCAGGTGCAGCTCAGCAGGCACTGATGACGGCGTGAGGAGCTTTTTCTCTCTACCCTTTCCTGTGCATCCTATGCCCAGGGCTTGCCCATGGTAGACACCACTTTGCAAACTTGTGTGACTTAGAAAATTGCAGAGATCCCTGAGCGAGTCTGGGTCACCCGGGACGCCACGCCAGCTGCCTGGAATATTTTGGGTGATACAGAATCAATCCTATGAAACTGGAGGAAAGCAATACTTGTCCCTGCCATGAGTCTTGAAGAGACAAACCGCTTCACCCTTCACGCCCCTGCATGCGGGTCCCCTCTCCACCCCACCCCCGACCCCAACCGTACCCGCCAGCTCTGCCCGCAGCCACCCGCAGGATTCTCCACTTGTCTCACCCGGGTCCTCCTACAGGACCCGGCGGGCGGAGCTAAGCTGCAGTGACGTAATCAGAGGGGGGGCGTGGGGAAATGTGCCGAGGGGCTCCTGCCCAGCTGGGCCAGTCCTAGCGGCGCAGCCACCAGCGCGCGCGCGCGCGCGCGCTCCCAAGGCCACCCGCCCGCAGAGCGCCAGTCCGCGACTCGGCGCGGGCGGACAGCGGGCCAGACTGGCTGTGGGACGTGAAAGGGGCAAACACCAGCCAGCTCAAGGGAGGCGGAGGGGCCGGAAGCACTGGACGCTGAGCGCCAGCCACCCGCCAAGAGCTGCGCTCCTGGGCGCCGTGCTGGATAGGGGACAGTTACTGAGGGCTGGTGAGCCCACTTAACGGATTACCGCGAAAAAGCAAGGTGAGGTTGTGTGCGTGCCCGTGTGTGCTTGTGTGTGTGTGTCACACACAGAGACACATACATGGAGATGTAGGAGCAAGAAGCGCACTCTGGCACCTGTGTGCATCAGCGCTGGTGACAGTGCGCCCATCCGCGCGACCGAGCGCAGGTTCGGGTGCAGGATTCTCCGCCCGGTGCTCGCTAGGGGTGAGTGTGGTGGAAATGAACGACAGCAGGTGTCCTGGCGTGAGTAGGGGGAGCTATCGTGTGAGCTGGAACGGACTGGTCTGGATAGCCCCTGCCCGTGTGCGCCTGGCGTGTGCCTTGCAGCCCTGTCCTGGTGGTAGCTGAGATGCGGGGAACAAGTTATCTCCCAGCCACCCGCAAAAGAGCCTTGGCGCAAGAGAGCGAGGCCAGCGGGGCTCGGGTGCCACCCTGGGGCTCCTGAGGACGCATTAGAGATCCCGAGATTTGAGCTCGGGAGGGGCAGGCGATTGGAGCACTCAGCGGAGGAAAGGGGATTCTCTCCTCTTTTTCTTCGCTGGCTGGGGAAGTGGACCCGTACTTGTAGGGGGTCCAGCCCAGGCCCTCAGGCAGAGACTGAAGAGAGCTAACGCTGGCATGGCCAAATCCCCAAGCCACTGTCAGGACTCCCAGCTGTCCCTGGCACTATAGCCCACCTCTGGGTTTAAAGGCTGGACAAATTGGTACTCAGTCTTCGCTGCCCTTTTGTCTCCCTAGAAATGTTAGGGAATCCTGTAGGAAACCATTGCTCCGGAGGGTCAGCGACTTGATCAGCGGAGGTTTTTTTTTTTTTTTTTTTTTCCTCCAGGATCCTGGGACTCACCTCCTGAGGCCCAACCCTTTTGGTCAGCGCCCCAGGGCTTCTCCTTTGGTGCTCTAGCACTAGATGCTGGGCTGTTGTCTCTCTGCCACTGAGGTTAGCAGGCTCCGGGGGAGGTGGGAGTGACGACTAAAGGGGGCTGGGGGATGCCACAAAGATGGGCAGAGTGGGTTTTAGGATCACCACTGCAGCCAGGTCCCCATCACAAGTCTCATTTCTGGAGGTGGAATGGGCAGCCCCCCTGGACAGACGCCAGAGGCCAGTCTCACCCTCCTCTCCAACTGCTGGGTCTCAGAGGAAACCAACAACAGGGCATTTCCAGTATCTAAAAACTCTTAGGCTGGAAAAATAAAGCAGATAATCAAACTTCCTCGTATTTAATTTTAACCAAAATCCAACAGGTATTGGTGGATTGGCATTTGGAATCCACTTTTCGTGGGACAACCATGAAGCAGAAGATTTCTTTGTTAAAAGCATTTGCCATGATTTAAGCCATTTCTTCCCAGGAGCGTCTTCCTGGCTCCAGCCTACCATGTCCCTCACCTTCATCAAGGCTCCAACCCCATCTTGAGCTACCTTTCAAAAGTGGCTACCTTTCAAAATAGGCTTTCTCAAACTATTTCAGGGGAGGGGAACTGACCCCAGTGCAGAGGAAAGGAAGGAGTTAGGGCTAGAAGGTGGCATGAGAGGCTCCCTCTCCCCTGCTGCACCAGCAACATCTCAAAAGCTCTAGAAAGAGCTTCTTGTAGCCCCCAGGGTCTTTGGTCTTACCCTGGCATTGGAGGATGACCATTCATGGTACCCAGATGCCACCCTGGCAGGACTGATGGTTAATGTACACTCCCACTGTGGGTAATTCAGATAAGATTCTGGGTCTGTAGAATTGAGTAACTGAGGAGATGGTTGGAAACGATAGTGCAAACAATCCAAGTAAATGCAGAGATACTAAAACAGTTTCTTTATAGCTTCTGGGTTTAAGAACCGCCAGCTGGCATTTTTACCCCATGTAGACATGAAATCCTGGGTCCCCAAAATTCTGTGCAAAAAAGATTAGCCACGAAGGCCATACCTCACTCCATGGACAGTGTGTGATTGAGGAAATTAGCATAGAAAAAATAAGAAAGGCGCCTGGCAGTACAGAATGAATCAGAAGTGGGCAAGGACCCTCAAGTACTGGTTGCTGGTGACATCTCCTTTAAGGTCTCTGCAGTCTCTCTGGGCACTCACCTATCTATCTTCAGGCACCAGGAAAAGCACCCTACTTAGAGGAAACATGCTCGCCTAGAGGGGCCAAGTGGTGCTGGGCATACCACCCCTGGCCATCTCGCTTCTTTTTGGAGTCACCTCCTGCCCTGTTCTATTGCTTCCCTCTTCATCTACTCAAGACCCCGGCTCCAAAACTGTCTTATGAAGTCGCCTCTGATCCTCCAGGGAAGGAAGGCATTCCTAGGTCCCTTGTTCCTAGCTCCAAGCAGTTCACACCCTGTGTCAACCGGCTTCATTGTGTCTCCTGATAAATGATCACCTCCCAGAGGGCACCTGCCCTGTCTTTGTACCCAGCAGCCAGTGATGTTTTTTGAACAACTGTAGATAAGTCATTTCATTATGGGATCACATATTGTTCTATACCCTAAGCCAAGCCAGTAGTGCTAGAGTTATTTTTCTCAGCATGGAGGTAGTAATGCAGGAGTCAGTTGCTTCAAACCCGAACCCAATTACCAGCCCCTCATTTGCCAGCCCACTGAGCAGCAGATGTGATGCTATAGAAAGCGTGGAAGTCTTGGGGTCAGGAGGCCTGTGTTCAAATCCCAGCACTACCAATTATAAAAGCTAGTCGCTTCAACTCCCTAAGCCTCAGTTTCCACATCTTTAAAACAGGGACAATTATCCCCACCTCCGGCCATGGCTGGGAAGATGAAGGGGATGTGGGTGTGAGTGAACCACCTCGGAGCTTGTGATTTTCTGTTCACATCAATGAAGAGACTGTATCTCTCAGCCCTCGCCTGGCTCCCATTTTTGTCCTCCATCAGGGGACTGCAGTTGAAATCTGTGTGTTGTTAGAACTCTGGAGTGGCACCCAGTTCAGGGACATTAGGGAAGTATTTTCTGCTACACAAGAGAGTCAAGCATTTGGGGTCAGAGAAACAGAAATGGAAAAAGAAAAACTGAAGCACACATTTAAAAACAAAATGAAAGCAAGCCAGACTTTTATTTTTAATATTGAAGACTATAAATTGATTCACTGTGTGGGCAGGATTCAATAAATTAGACATAATGAGATGGTGTGGGGGGGATAACACTTCTGAGGTTCCCGTCATGAGCCCCACATGATGCCAAGGCTCTGCGTGCCCTCCCTCATGACTCGCATGTTAAGCAACCCAGTGGAGCCCAGCAGGGAATGGCTGGGCATGAGGTCCCATGGGCTCCACAGGGGAGCCAAAGTCTGGGGGTTCCCACCACGGGTTTCAGAAGAGAGAGAGTCCCACACGGCCGGCAGTCCACAGGGACTCCCTCAAGGGAAAGGGCTCTAGATGCCAGTGCCAGGCCCCTCTGAGCTCGGGGGCTGGAACTCTCTGCCTTCTTGTAGCTGCACAGTCAACTCCTTAGAGGTCAAAGTATGGCAGGGAGGAAGCCACAGCACCCCCTAGAAGTGCGTCATCAAAGATGACTGCTTAGCCCTGCCCTTCCCCCACTATTGGGAAAAAACCTCAAGGTCTGCGCAGGGCTGGTGGCTGTGACACTGGCACAGAAAGATAACACCTTTTCCCATTTAAGAGTACATCTAAGAGGATAAGCCAGAAATGTGGAAAGCTGGCCAGGGTTTCAACAGCTGGTGACTGACTGCTGGGCCCATCTTGTTTCCTTCCAGATGTCACCGTGGACCCTTGGCCTCCAGGGCCCACTGAGTGGGGAGTAAGATCGGGGGCAGGTTGGTTCTTGGCTTAGACTGAAAAGCAGCCATGGAGACGGTGTACGAGCAACTCAATGAGAGCCAGGCATGGCCGCCCTCCCCCTTTGACCTCAATGGCTCTGCGACGGCAGCGAACAACTCCAACAAGACAGAGCCATACTACGACATGACCAGCAATGCGGTCCTCACATTCATATACTTCGTGGTCTGCATCATCGGTCTCTGTGGCAACACTCTTGTCATTTACGTCATCCTCCGCTACGCTAAGATGAAGACCATCACCAACATCTACATCCTCAACCTGGCCATCGCCGATGAGCTCTTCATGCTGGGGCTGCCCTTCCTGGCCATGCAGGTGGCGCTGGTCCACTGGCCCTTTGGCAAGGCCATCTGCCGGGTGGTCATGACTGTGGACGGCATCAACCAGTTCACCAGCATCTTCTGCTTGACGGTCATGAGCATCGACCGTTACCTGGCTGTGGTCCACCCCATCAAGTCGGCCAAGTGGAGGAGACCCCGGACAGCCAAGATGATCAACGTGGCTGTGTGGGGGGTCTCTCTGCTGGTCATCTTGCCTATCATGATCTATGCTGGGCTTCGGAGCAACCAGTGGGGGAAAAGCAGCTGCACCATCAACTGGCCAGGTGAATCTGGGGCGTGGTACACGGGGTTCATCATCTATGCGTTCATCCTGGGGTTCCTGGTCCCCCTCACCATCATTTGTCTCTGCTACCTGTTCATTATCATCAAGGTGAAGTCCTCTGGCATCCGAGTAGGTTCCTCTAAGAGGAAAAAGTCTGAGAAGAAGGTCACCCGAATGGTCTCCATAGTGGTGGCCGTCTTCATTTTCTGCTGGCTCCCCTTCTACATATTCAACGTGTCCTCCGTGACCGTGGCCATCGACCCCACCCCGGCCCTCAAAGGCATGTTTGACTTTGTGGTGGTCCTCACCTACGCCAACAGCTGTGCCAACCCTATCCTCTATGCTTTCCTGTCTGACAACTTCAAGAAGAGCTTCCAGAACGTCCTCTGCTTGGTCAAGGTGAGTGGCACAGATGACGGGGAACGGAGCGACAGCAAGCAGGACAAATCCCGGCTGAATGAGACCACGGAGACCCAGAGGACCCTCCTCAACGGAGACCTCCAAACCAGTATCTAAACTGCCTGGCCAAACAAAACAAGCAAGCTCCACCAACGGGCAAAGGACTCCCTTCTCACCTGCTTTTCCCTCCTCCCACCCGCACACCTGGCTTCTAGGATAGAGGTCCTATGGGCCTGAGCCCAAGTCACAGCACAGCGAATGAATGGGCTTGTCTGGTAGATAACTGATACGTTGATTACCTCCCCCTTTAAGTGAACACTCAAGTGCAGGCAGACAATTCAAAGTCTGGAGACCTATGACCTTGAGAGATGCTCAAGTTCAACAAAAAGAGAAAAAAAAAACAACCCTATGTGCGTGTCTGTGGACTTCCAGCCTGCTGTGTAAAGTGTGTTCTTATATTTATCCTTGTATATTCCTGCTGAGTGTTTGTACAGTCATCGCTTTACACTCCTTGTGTTCAGTACAAGAGCAGCAAACTGAAGCGTGCAGAGTGCCCAGGACATGAGCCACGGTATGGAACCCTAAGAAATGGACTTAGCGGGAAGCCAACAAGCTTTACGTGTCAGGGATGGCTCTCCCCGGGCCTTTCCCAGCCCAGGACAAACCTGAGCGCTCTGTTCCTGTGGGTCATGTGCTCTCGTACAATATTGTGAAAGTGAGATATTTTTGTATTCTTTCTCTTAAGAGGGCCCCCCCTGTTACCTAAGCTTCCAGTCTCCCCAAACCTGCCTCTTCCCCTGGGTGTCTTCTGCATTGATTTCAAGCAGCTAGGTCAAACTCAGGAGGGGGAAGGGAGAAGACAGCCGAAGACCCAGGATATAAATTGTGAGTTTCCTGTTCTCAGATACAATCAGTTATTCATTTACCCGAAAGGATCGAAATGGTTGTGGTCATCAATCATCGATTTATCAACACAAAGCCTGCTTTATCATAAGATCGGGCTTTTCTTCTTCTCAATTTGCTTTATTCTTTATTAGGGATCCACAGAGAGGGAAACCACTAGCCTGAAAGGCAAAAATTGGACTAGGGGAAACGATTTTATTTCCCCAACATAAAAATAAATAAATAAGAATGAAGCAAAATTATACTTTCATTAGAAACCATGAAACTGCCTTCTTTTTTTTTTTTTTTTTTTTAATGCCAGACATGGCTTCCTAATGAAAGAAAATGGAAATGTAATTCAACAAGTCCTCAAAGCATTTTTTAAGGACTTTCCACAAGGCTGGGCATTAACAAAAATCACAATGTATACTAGAGATGTGAGGACATTGTTCATAAAACACACACACAGCCAGCATGGTGGTGCTTGCTATAATCCCAGTGACTCAGAAGGCTGAGGCAGGAGGATTGCAGGTTTGAGGCCAGCCTCAGCAACTTATTGAGACCCTATCTCAAAATAGAAAATAAAGGGGGCAGGGGATGTGGCTCAGTGATTGAGCACCCCTGGGTTCAATCCCTGGTACCAAAACACACACACACACACACACACACACACACACACACACACAGCTAAACTCTATGTGTAGGGGTATGTTGGAGGAGCCCTGGCCCTCACAGGCACTGCCCTGATACCTTTTTCCCCACTCTGTGTATAACTGTCAGATCGTTACTGCTCTGGACCCTCTGAGCTTCCCCAGGGGCTGCTGTAGACAGGCATTTCACACCATCAGGGGTTTTTATTCCCCAAATTGTAGCTGGGCCTATGTACAAGTGATCAGAAGAAACAGTCCTCCTCCCATTGACTGGGCACTGTCCCCAGAATATGAAGAAATATACACTCAGGTGTTTGCAAGATGCCACCATGTCTGGCTTTTATAGGAAAGCATCACTCTTAACATCTCGTATAGATTTTACCATATTTAAAAAAAAGCTTTCCTCTCCCGGCTCCCTGATAGGGCTGGCAGCCCCGCTGTGACTCTCCTGGATGGCTGGCTGACTTTATTCTATGTCCTTCGCACCACCTCGTTCCCAAAAGTACTTGTCGTGGCTTAGAAAAATATGTTCGATAAGAGTTATGATCAACAAATGAATTTGTGCAAAAATAAAAAAGAGGTGCAATTATAAACTAAGGCTACTAAGAAAGTCGTTGCAAAAAAAACGCCGACGCAGTGAAATCCCACACCCTTGCTAAAGGCAAAGCTCACTGCCAGTCCAGCTCAGGGCTGGCTTCCTGGCAACGCACTTAATGGAGAATGACTTTTTTTTTAAATAAAAATAAGCAGAGGTTTGGAAGGAAACACTATAAACACAATTTTACCATTATTTTATGTCTTTGAATAAATGCTGGTTGTTGTTTTTTTTTTAACTTACGGAAATGATGCCAAGGGAGCAAGAATTGGTAGAAATCATTTTGAAGAAAAGAGTAATTCCATAGTATCCATGTCTGTGCAAACAGAGAAACCCCAGGAGGCAGGGTCCAAAGCAGCCACCGCAAACAACCTCAAAATGAAAGGCACATCCAGTCCCTGGGGGCGCTCATCAACAGGAGGGTCATCCAAAAGCAAAAGGAAGGGGTCTATAAGACCCATGCTCTAATTTCACCCCAATATGTAATCAGGTCCCACTACACAGAAATGTGTTCTCCACTTTTCAAAAGACCTCTTTCAAGGATGACTTGCTCTCAGATTTTCTCTTATCCAGAAGAGGAAATATACCTTTTCATGTAACCGTTAACCTTAATTTTAATTAAAAAATGTAATTTTAGCCTCAAATGAAAATAAACCTGCTGGATATACTGAGAGGGAATAAGAAATAACGCAGCCCACCGATTGTGGAGTGTCTGATGGCTGAGTTGTGCTAGTCACTCCTTACCTTCCTCTAGCATGGGCAGTTAAGCGCTGCCTAAACCCAGTGGACTCAGAAGGACATGCTGACCCTGGGGCCTGGGCTGAATGATGTTGACTTGCATTTCAGTAACAGGGAGGTGGGTGACAGTGGATATGGAGTTGGAACGTGGGCTTAGACAGTGGATGGTGCATGCAGGCAGAGAGGAAAACGGGGGCTGGCGGATGGGACTTCCAGAGCTGGCGGTGACCTCAAGTCCATCTGCTTATACCAATCTGACCTCCTCTTCTTGATGGAGTATGAGCTCTGCTTGCTGAAGCCCTCAGCCCCAGCTGTCCCCATGAGAGCACAGTGCTGGGGAAGCACGCAGCCTGGTGGCTGGGCTGGAGAGGAAGCCAAGGGCTGCCTGGACACGGGGAGTTACAGCAGCAGGACAACAGGAACTTTGGCCTTGTTGAAGACAGGGGGCAAGAGAATCATCAAAAGGTTGGTGGAAAGCCTGGTTGGTGTATCTGAAGTGTGTGTCCTTACAGGACCACAATAGCTGCAGCCAGGCTCTGTGGCCACGCCTGTCATCCCAGAGACCCAGGAGGCTGAGGCAGGAGGATCAGAGGTTCAAGGCCAGCCTCAGAAACTTAGTCAGACCCTATCTCAAAAAATAAATAAATAAAGGGCTGGAGATGTAGCTCACTGGTAAAGTACCCAGTACTACCAAAGAATAAAAAAATATATATATCACAGTAGCTGACAAGCCCAGCATTATAAGTAATGACTTACAATCAATCATTTGTCTCATCCACATTTTTGCTAGATTCAAAAATATGGGATTTACCATCACACATTCTATCAAAGCAAACCTTTACCTAAGTGCTTGTTTGGCTTATAACGTGAGAATCTCTCGGAACCTCCTCATTGGCAGAGTTTCTTTTTTTTTTTTTCCCAGCAGCTCATGTAGAAAGTAGGGGATTGTATTCCACTCAAAGCTGGGAACTTTTGTAGCTCTCAGTTACCTGATTCAGGTAATTCGCACCACCTCATTCCCAAAGTACTTTCCGAGTGATACGCTCTCTTGTGGCTTGGAACCGTTGTGCTGTCATGCCTGTTCTTACTTTTTCTTTCTTTTAAATTAACAGACTATTTCTAGAACCATTTTAGGATTTAGAAAAGGTGGACAGAAAGTACAGAGAGTTCAACGAATGACCTTCAACTCACATCTCAAGGACAAGCTTTTACCCCCAGCCCCCAAGGCCACTCTCAAGCCTGGCCATCCCACAGCCATGTGGCTTCCTCCTCAGCAGCCACAGAGCACTGCACACCATCCAGCTGCTCCCCTGTGGATGTCTTGGGCCATGTGTATCTGGATTGTGCTTAAAAACAGAGCTAAATATTAACCCAGACCTAACCCTGCCGACTAGAAGCATTATTGATTCTCCTAAGATCAGGAGTGAGTGTGATATCATTAAAATGCAATGCTGTACCTGGGTCACCGGCCAGCGAACACCTGCCTCCTGTTCACAGAGATTTTAAGCATGAGAGAGCCGAGGGTACGGGCTCAGCTTCTGGGGGGTGGAGCCCAAGAAGACAGGCTCCCTGAACCATCTCTCCCTTTCCCTGTGTCACTCAGGGGACAGCCCAGGGGAAGAAAGGACCTCTTGGCTTGGATACTGGCACCTAGTGGGGTGGGGGATTTGCTTCTGTTCCCATGGCTGCCAGGACTGGAAACAAACAAATGTCCTGGTTAGAGATCAACTGCCCTGACCCTTAGGAAAGCCCGGTAGGGAATGGGATGCAAGGCCCACTTACAGAGAAACCTGAAATGCCATCCCACAGCCATGGCCACCCCAATTATTTGGTGACAGGCACCTCCAAATTGTTTAAGCAGCAAAGAAGGTCCCTTTGTGGTGGAGGTCACCAAAGGGAGAAAGGGAAGCCCAGGTGAGCCTAGCCCTGGAGACTGCCAGTTTTACCAAATAAGACTGCCTTAGCACGGGACGCTGCTCCTTACAAAGAACAGATTGCAAAGTGGCCACTACGGAGCCCTGGGGGGAACTGCTGGTCTCACGGGGCCACACACCAGGTGCCACAGGACACATTGTGCCATTCCTGGACAGCTCTTCCCCTGCTTCAGAGGCAGCCCCAGGTCAGAGATGTCCATTGCTGAGTGAGCTGACACTGTCCCAAAGAGTATGATGTTCTAACAAGAAACCAAGATCGTCCTCGCTCAACATGACCAAGGCTTGACACTGACCAGCATCCCCTTCTCAGGAGACAGGGACAGTGCTCTCAGCCTCTCAGATCCTCCTCTGTGCTCCCTAGCACATGCACACGAACACGCGCACACACACATACACACACTCACACACACTCAAGCATGACAGCATGCACTGGCACCATGACAGAGCACAGGTATGGGATGCATGTGATGCTCATACATGTGAGGACACACTCTGTGTGTCCAGATGTTGTGTGTGCCCAGATGTGCAAAGCACCTGTGTGATACAT